CTGAAGAAACACAATCCTTTTTATAGTAAAAATATGGAACTTGGATTGATTAATAAACAGAGCCATCTACAGAATAAGAATTCCACAGTGCAACTCCAAAATGAATCCATTTTTATAATATCTTCTCTGCCAGCTAATTTAGAATATACTATGTGCAAAAACAAAAATGCCTTCCTTAAAATAAAACAGGCCTCAAGGAATATCTGTTTTAGAGTTGACTAAATTCCCAAATACTGAAATTTCTTAACCTTCCACTTGAAAAGACTAACAAAAAAGTCAATGTTGTTTCTCCTCTGCAGAAATACCAGATATTGCCTTAGATATCACTAACAGAAATATTAGAGATTGCCTTGGATATCTCTAACAGAAATATTAGATATTGCCCACTAGATATCACTAACAATGCATATAGTATCTTAAAGGGTACGTAACAAATGGGGCTTGGGGAAAAGAGGGAAGTATGTTTATGTGATCTATAAAATAAAGTGAAAAATTTTAACCACATTGATTCAGTAAGATTTTCAAAATGAATACTCAAAGGGAGATTTTCCTTGACTTTTCTTTTACTTCAATGAACTATTTATTTTATTAGAAATAAGAGGGCATTCTCCACTGGCCCCAAACACATAGAACCTGTATTTCATATTCTTCCAGTAAGAAAAATCATCCCTGCTATAACATTATATCTAACATTTGAATGAAGGAAAGAGTAAAATATTAAATTTGTTTACATAGAGGAGCAAAGTCCATGACACAACCATCTAATAAGGTTGGCTGAGTAACTTACTGTGAGTAAAACAATAGAGCAAGCAAGGATACAGAAAAGACTCCATAGATTGCTCTACATTTTTATAGTTTAATCATAAGTCCCTTTTTCTGAAGAAATTACTTTCAATCATGTAAGGAAAGGATGGCATAACTGGTTGTCTTTTTACCAGCCCGGAATATGAATAGACACTTATCCTTCATGGTATAATTTGAGAGGCTGATCAAATCTTATCATGAAATCTACCCTTTTCCTCCTCTGTGCCTGAAATTCCACTATTAGCAATTCAATCTTTTGGATCTTACAGGATTTTTATTTTAAATGTACTATGGTCTCTTGTGGCCAAGCTTGTTGTAGTTGTAATAGCCTTTGGTATTTCTGAATTTCCATTTGCTATAGAACTTCACATGCATGTTTAGATTAGCATGCTTGAAATTATTAAGGCAGAGTACAAATATCATTTTGAAAATTAGATATAAAAGTAGAGGAAATTTACTAAATTTTGGATGTAAAATAAGCTAAGTTGTAAGGTCATGACATCCATTCTTCTCCCTTCAAAGATATGAACTTATTCCATTTTTAGTTACATAATCTTCAAAAAATAAATTACACATCATATTACTTAAACAATGATTAACAACCATCACAGTCAGACAATTTCTTACCTAAGTTAAAAAAAAAAGTTTTCAACTACACCAATAGCTCCTCCAGTACAATGTAGAAATTGTTTTTGAGCATTCACTAAGGACCAGCTACTGTGATAGGCATATTAGAGAATACAAGATAAGACTTGTCTCTTGCCCTCAAGAGGGTCCCACATAAATTCAGGTAGTTCTAAGGCAGCACAGACTATGACAAATGCAGCAGGAGAAATACAAACACAATGTTAGTGGAGACACAGATTACTTTAAAGTTGGGAGAGTGACCTGTAGAAAGCAGTGTAGAGATTTCTCAAAAACACTTAAAATAGAACTACCTTACCACCCAGCAATCCATTATTGGGCATATACCTAAAAGAAAATAAAACATTCTACCAAAAAGACACATGCTCTTGTATATTTATCACAGCACTATTCATAATAGCAAAGACATGGAATCAACCCAGGTGCCCATCAATGATGGATTGGAAAGAAAATGTGGTACATATATACCAAGGACTACTACACAGCCATAAAAAAAAGAACAAAATTATGTCCTTTATAGCAACATGGATGCAGCTGAAAGGCCGTCATTCTAAGTGAATTCATGCAGAAACAGAAAATCAAATACCACATGTTCTCACTTGTAAGTGACAGCTAAAACATTAAGTACACATGGACACAAAAATGGGAATGATAGACACTGGAGACTCCAAAAAGGAGGATGGAGAGAGGCAGCAAGGGTTGAAAACCTATCTATCAGGTACTATATTCACTACTTGGATGATGGGATCAATAGAAGCCCAAATTTCAGCATTATACAATATACCCCATGTATCAAACCTGCACATGTACCCCTTGAATACAAAATTTAAAAATAGATACATAAATAAATAATAAAAGAAAACTGAAGCATTGAAAGTACTGGTAGACAAGGTGAAATCTGCTAAAAATTCTACTCTCTAAAAATTCTGTTAAACTAAGACAGAAATGAATAAGGCAATACTGCCTTGATGAAAAATCACAGACTATCAGAGGAGCAGGTCTTGAAAGCGCTACTGTGGGCCAGTGTGGCACAGTGATGGTGTAAACAAGTTATGATGCCATGGAAGAAAAGAACACAGAGCACTTGTTTTTATAGAAAGGTTTGGGGAGGTGCCTACCTTGAAATCTAAATAACAGATAACAAAGGGAGATGAAGGACATTCCAGGCTGCAAAGTTCAACCATCACATAGTCAAGGAACTGCTCTGAAAGTTGGGTATGAGTTTCACAGGAGTAGATTGTCATGGGGACTTCAAAAACAAGGCAGTAAAAAGCAGCAGTTCCTTATTTTCTGCAAAAGACCCCTTTATAAATAAGAAAACAGCTACTGGCTCAAATTTCCATTTTATTCTTCCTGGATTGTGTTTTCTTTTACTATTTTATCTCTGTAGTCGCTGAGCCCTTCCATGTCTCTGAAATTCACACTTTCCATGCTTTTAAGAGTCTGGCCAGTCATGGCCTCACAAATGCTATACACCATACACTTGTTGGTTCCTTTTATCAATTTATTGGTCTATTTCAAGTCTGTCTTTTACTTAAGAAACAAGAGACTTCTCTGTTTACAAGGATCATATAGTTTTACCTTATACAAGTACAGAATTTGTCTATATCGTCTATTGTTAATGTATTCATACCTTTGTACCAAGTAGCCCAGACTGGAAGCAGTCCCCATAGGACACCCCCACAGTTTGAGAGGGTTGTCAGACAAAGTTATAGGATACTTAGTCACCACGAAACTCTGGCTTGAAACTTGTCTCCTTCCTCCCCCAGGTTCCTCAGGAATGTGTAGTTATTGTCACTGCTGGGTTTACTTTTGTTATTTTTAAGTGTTTGTGATGTGAGTTTCCTTAGAAAAGCATCTGACAGTAATCTAATTCATAAAGAAAAAAAAACTGATGTTCAAGAAGTTGAAAAAGACCTTCCCTAGATTTGTTGTCGTCTTCTGCATGGGGACTGGTTTCCCCAGGGAGGCACCAGGATAGAGTTTTTTACCTCTGACCCACCAGATGGCAACACCTACCCTTGGTAACCAAGGAAAGCAGGCAGCACCTAGGGTTAAACAGTAAGTGGCTTCCACACCTAACACCCTGAAAATTATGTAGTTGCCTGCTTTTTACCCTTGCCTGAACCATAACGTCGTTTTAATGTACATAGTTCTAGATTATGGCTACCTCCCAAGAACATCACCCTCTCGTTCATTTACTTATTCATTCAACAAATCTTGAGACTACAAAAGAGAAACAAATAACAGATATGAAAAACTGATATAACACCTTTTAGTGGGAGAGACGCAATTGATCAATACATCAATACATGTATAAATACATAACATCATGGCATGTAATATTATGTCATGTCAGGTAATAGTAAATGCTATAATGAAAAAAATGCAAAATAAACAGAGAGTAATGGGAAGTGCTAATTAAGATACAGTAGCCAGGGAAGGCCTCTGTAATATGTTATGTGGGCAGAGACCTGATTGGAGTGAACCAGAGGGGTATTCAGGAAAAGAGTAACACAGAGAGAAGTGCATGTGCAAAGGCCTTGAGGTGGAGCACATATGTGTGTTCCAAGAACAGCAGAAAGTCCACGGCATTGGAGTGTGATGAGCAAGGGGAGGATGGAAGGAGACAAAGCCAGGGATTAACCAGGAGCCAGACCCTGAAGGGCCCGTCAGCTATGGAAACAAATTTGCATTTTATGCTGACCCCATAATCTGAAGGAAATAGAGGAATCATGATGACTACAAAGTTTTCAGCCTGAGTCTTGGAATAAAAGAAGTGTCATTTACTGACATAAGAAAAACCAGGGGAAAAGCAAGTTGGCACTGAGAGGGAGATGTGAATTAAGAATCAGTGGGTACCGGTATCATATTGTAGAGTGATGATTGGCATTTACACACTTTCATCTTTAGGGATTTCCACCTAAATTTTCATGTCTCATCAACTTCCAATTATTAATATTTTGGCCAGGGGAGGCATGTAACCAGAATGGCAATCCAAAACTTATTTAGGTTTTATGCAGAGCTGATTTCAGGGACCATTTTGAGGTAGGTAAAATGTATGAAGTTTCCCAGTCTCCAGGTTTGCCTCTTCCCCAACCCAATTTTTTTCCTCCACATTGCTCCCAGATTTTCTCTGAACACATTCATTTCCCTTGTTACCTGTCTGTTTCTGCCTCCGCTCGTCACCACCCATATGACTAGGGAAAAGATCAGGTATCAGTCACTTACACCTAGGATGAATTCAACCCCCTATTCAGTATCTCTCTGAAATATTTGCCCTTTAAAGTTTGTCCCTCATTATGTGATAGATATTCCTGTTCTCCATTTAATTCTCCTCTTAAGGGAGCATCAAGCATGAAAAGAAGCACTGGTAGGTTTAGACACCTATAGATTTTGCCTACATTTGAGACATGATATGAAGATAAGAATGACCCAACACAGTGTATGCGAGGAATGCTTCCAAGCATCCTCTGCTTGTTCAAGAAAGACCCCATCTGAAAAATTGTTTTAAAATAAAGCAGTCTATGAGGGAAGAAATAAGTACTTACTTACTGCTATGATGGTTACAGGATGTTGACTATGGTCTGAGGTGGTGGAATAAAGGGTGGTTGTCCAAACTGATCATCAGAACAAATGGCCATAAGGCAAGTTCCTGGAACAGACAGGTAAAGTCAGGGACTACCAGGAGCCAGGAACATGATTCCAGGGAGCAGCAGATCTGGAAAGAGGACACAGATATCAGAAAGAACTTCTAAGAGAAACAGCCAGTAACACCGCAGGTGTGATTAGCTTTTCAGAGCCGTGTGTTTACGTCTGTGAGCACAGTGGCATTCTCCAGGACCAAGGAAATACCCATTGCTAACTCATTTTTACCCCAAACTAAATACTTCTTCTAGAAGTCTAAGTACTTTGAATCATTACTTCATGGCTGATTACCTTTGTCAAATTCTTCATAAATATTATTTTAAAATGAAAGAACTGTAGGTAGAATACTACTGATTTTTATCTCTACATATTAGTTGATACTCTTTTCAGTATTAATATTCTATGATCTTTTGGAGGAATGTGAATGGGTCTTTCCTCATTTGCTTTATTTTCATGTATCCCTGGACTCTCATGAATGGATGTTTTTCTTTTTCTAGAAAGAATATATGCATGCACAGATTAAAATGTTTTCTAATGGAAAATCACTCCTACTAATGGCATTTTACTTAAGTATTGGAAGAAAAATAAAAATTAAAAAATTCCCAAACAATTGATATTTATATCTTCTAATATAGCAAGCAGAAAATAATTTTAAAGTTGCTAAGATTAACTTGTTACCCTTAACCCAAAGAAAGCCTATTCAGTTATGTCACTAACCCAGAGTAGAAAATATATCCACACAACTTCATTACAGCAGCCAATCTGGCTGCCAGGGTTGACTTGAAGTAGAAAATCTACACTAAAAATGTAATACACTAAAAGGCCAATGACAAATAACTACTAACAATGATCTGTGCCAACCCAACCCTCAAGCCAGGGTGACTTCACCAGAGGGTAATCTCATAGACTGAGGAATTACTGAATTAGTTGTACAGCTTTGGGACTAGACATGTCCTGAAACCCCTAGACACTGTACTGGAGAAGGGCATCATGGGAATGTGCTTCCTACTTGGTGAAGAGCATTCTGCTTCCTGCAGAGGAAAGCATGGATCCGAGGGTAGTGTTGGTGGTGTGGTCTGAGGAGATAAGGAACAATGCACACCACCTAAATATCCTTTCACACATTCTCTAATAAAATTTTAAAAATTATAGTCTCATATATACCCTCTATAAATATGTATAGTCATACATATGCACTGCGTATAGCCCATGTATATATTACATAAACATACAGTAATGTGTAATATATATTCATAACCCTTACATAAGAGGATTTGTGAGTTTAAATTTTTCTCAGAGTGTAGAGATTATAGATATTTTATCATTTTATCTCTCCTTTTAAACATTTGTGTTTCCTTTCGTCAAGGACAAAATAAGATCTATGAACCCAATCATATTGTCATTTTGCCCTCAGATATCAGAAAGCTTAGAGAGAACATTAATTCTCAATTATATTTAGTATTCTTAACCTATGTTTTCGGTAAAATTTTCTCACCCAACGTCAAATTTCCTCATCCTCACTATTTAGGTTTTGATTTGTTAACTTCATTCAAATGATTGTTTTACTTACGCACCTAGCATTAAAAATAATTCATGTCCTTTTTTGTTCATAAGTACAATACATATAGATAACATCATATTTGATATACACATTTATACATATGTACATATCTAATAAAAATAAGACAATAGCTAGCTATTATTTATTTACAGTTTATAATGAAAGTGTACTACTTTTTCCCAAATGGAACCTGAAAATGGGTCTTGACATGAAACAAGGAACCTGGAGGGCACAGGGAACAAAAAAGCCAGGGTCCAGACGGGAGATGGTGGATGCAGAAAGCACCCTTCTTTGTTACATTTACTACCAGGCAACTTTGTCCAGGGAAAATCTCTGTTTCTGAGCAGGCTCAGAATGGAGAAGAGAGAGATAAAGCAGAGTAGTAGGTCCTTAGTAGTCAGGGGATTGCCTAATGAGAGCTGAAAATTCAGTTCCCCCTGATTGTTCTGGAGCAAGCTCTGGAGCCAATTCTCAGTCAGGGAGACACCAAAGAAAAAAACAGAAGCCCGTGTCAACTCCAGAACTTCTTAGTCTCCTGGAGCCACTAAACTGGAGAGGATTATGGATCATCAGCCTCTCTGGTTAAAAGAAAAGCAGGCACACTTTGACTTTTACCCCACAGGAGGAGTGAAGGTAGGCTGATACGTGTTCATATAATGGTACTTTCTTTTCTTTGTTACCTCACAAGAATTGTTCTGCAAGTACATGGAATATTTTTTCTATTTTGTCAATAGAGGAGATCAATTCAGTTACAACCACTCAACTCAGATCACATCCAAGGCACTTTGATAAGCCACTGCAACTAATGACTAATCTCAATCAATCTCCTGGTTGCTGTTATAGTTGCCCAAGCCCTGGTAACAATCTGGAGCCTTTAAGACCAGCATGGAGTAGGAGCTGAGAGAAATCTACCAATAAGGTGAGGCCACTATGAGAAGAGATCAGCAGTCTCACTGGAGCATTGCAAATGCTTACATGTGTCTGGGCAGGCTGCAACATTACCAACATCTCATTCCAAGGGCCAGGAGAAAAAGCACAGAAGAACGTCCAGTCAATGGAAGAGGTGTCCAGTCAACTGGCAGGCAGAGTCAGATTAGACTTGATAGGCATTCAAGTCTCTCTATAAATGCTTGAAGCAGACAGAAGAGCCTGACAGGAGCTTGGAAATCAGGTGGGGTACCAGGGAACCCCATGGTCTAGAATCCAGTCCCAGGAAAGAACTAGAGTAGGAACCAGAAGGCAGGAGCCCATCAAGCAGGTCTATGCAGCAGACTGGCCATACTTCCAATGGGATTGAAAGAATAAGAGAAGATGCAGCCCTCTGCTTAGCCAGAGCTGAATCTTTCTTACGTACCAGACAATGAGCTCAAATTAACAGACTATTTACAGATCGTTCTCAATGGTAGGAAAGGGACTCTCAGTGTATTGTTTCTCAAGTTCCCACCACTTCAGGAACCAAGCAGGGTGAAACAAGCCTGTAGATGGCAGGCTGGAATACCCAGAGCTTCAGTTTCTGCCTGCATCTGATGTGGAGCCTTTCCTTGTCCCTGAAATGATGGCATCTGCAAATGGGAGAGTGAGACAGTCCTGCAGAGAGCAGAGCCCAGGTCCACAGGAGCATCACAGCGGGATAAAGAATACATAAGGGAAGAGAGATCAGTTCAGAAGTCCAGCCTTGAAAAAGAAAATGACCTTCACAATATGATTATATATTAAATTTCAGGCCAAATATTGATGCTACAAAGGATAATTTTATTGTAATTTTTATGAATAATTCCCAAGACACTTTATTCTCACTTTAGAAGCTTTTTCATCTAAATATTTTATATAAGCCCTTCCTTCTTAAAAAAATTCAGATTTTTTATAATACATCAGCCTGATGTGTTTTATAATACATGCTGCTTGAGTTAATGAAAATCCTGAGATGAAACTTATTACTTAAATTATTTTAAGGTACATTATACAGCTTGTAGAAATCAGCCATTTTCCTCTCAGGATACACCATTTCCCTCTGGTTTAGCATAATAAAGACTTGAAATTTGCAAATTCAGGCATTGTAAATCACTGTATCCCTTTGAAACACAACGGGTCAATTGTCTTTCTCAGCTAAAATGTATTGAGTTGCTATTTTGTAGACTGTTATAATCCAGGATACAAACTAAACCAAAATTAACTGTATGTAAAATCTATTACAGAAGAGCTTATAAACATATAACCTGAAAGTTTTACACAATAACAAGAAAAAGGGAGATTTAACATGAAAACTGCTATAGGGAATACGTATTTATAATTAACTAATGATTACTGATTATGCCATATTGTAACTAAATTATGATAGATCATAATTAAAAGCAATGAGTTTTGATCTTTAAAAGAATTACAAACTGTGAGGTTTTTGTTGTTGTTGTTGTTGTTTGCCTATGGTGCAAACAGTCTGAAGAAGGAGAGGAATCATTGGGGCTACCTCATATATCTACCCCATAGGAAGAAAATATAGTGTCCCCTATCTTCTTCATGGCATGGTGAGGAACATGGTTAAAGTACGCCTATGCTCATACAGCCAGGGATGGTTTCGTGCACATGCAAGCTGCACAACACACAGAGTCTCACACTCAGAAGGGCCCTGCCCTTAATGTAATGCTCTATCACCAACTTGAAGAGTCTTCATAATTTCTGAAGGAGAAACCTTGCATTTTCATTTTATTCTGGGTCCCTCAAATTGTGTAGCCAATCCTGCATACAGAGAGGCCCATTACAAATCAAGGAACATCATCTCAGTTGGCACAGGACTTCACACAGTGTCTGATGCATGGAACAGCAAATGTTCACTGAATGAATTAAATAAAATTTACTCCCTAATTTTCAAGACAGATTTTAGTCTGCTCCAAACAGTTGACTTTCTTTCAAGACTATGGGGGAAGAAACAATCAAAGAAGGGAATTTTCTGCCACTGAAAATATTTTTCCATATCAACTTAGCCATATTAATCTCTTCCCCTTTTTAAACAACATACAATTTATTAAACTGTGTGGGACCAGGGTTATGCTGATATCCAATGCAGGCTAAGCACATCCAGAGAACCTTGGGATACCCAGGCAGCAGGCCACCAGAATTCCTTTTACATGAGGACCCATATCCATAAACATTCTTTAAGACAAAAAAAAAAAAAGGTAACTTGGGAATTTGGCAGTTAGACCCCTGAAACCCTTGAACAAAGAGAGAGCTCTCAAACTCTGGATCTAGAAAGGCAGTGAGTCATCCTGTTTCAGGAAGAGCTGGCAAGGTGAGTTGACTTGGGCAAGAAGGATTGCTCCAAGGCTGGGTGTCACTCCTATGCACTTCTGTAGGTAGGTCTGGTGATTCTTGCACAGCTGGTATCATATTATTTGTTATAGCACAACATCAGCTGTAGGGATGAGCTTGGTGGCCACATATTTACCATATGACCCTGCTCCTGTGGCCACAGTGATGGAGCAGTACGTGGGCAGATGTCTCCAGGAAAGCTCCTTCTC